CCCCTGCTCCAGGGAAGTGTCCCTGTGTGGATGTGGCTGCAGGGATCTTGCCAGCCACCGTGCCCAGGGAGCGTGTGAGGTGCCGGGGGCTGTTCCCGTGGGATGCCCCAAGCGCCTGTGCCTGCAGCCAGAGCTGGCAGCTGCCCATGCTGTAGGACATCAGGGCACCCCCGGCCTGGCCACTGTGCCCTGTGGGTCCTGGCTTGGGACAAAAATCTCCCAAACACGTGAAATTCCATTAATTTTGTTGATGGTAGGGCTGGAAACCTCCTGTGGTAACAGCTGAAAGCTTGTGAAAGCCCAGGCTTGAGGCACAGTTGTGTTTACCCTAATTCAGGTCCAGCTGCTGGGGGCAGAGCAGGGCTCCCATCTCACACACACGGGGGGTGTTGGTGTGAGCCCTTCCAGCCAGGGGGAATCGGACACGAGTTTTGCAGAGCCATTGCAGTAGTTAATTATGATCAGTGTTGTGTTGGATGTACCTTTTTTTCATCATCTGCTCTTAATTTCCAGCAATTGGATCTTTATTACAACTTTGTTTGCTCAGCTGAAAAACCTACTTTTATTGAATTTCTCTCCCTGCAGTGGATATTTGTTGACTGTGACTCAATAACCCTTTTGCCTTCTGCACAGCCACCTGGGTGACATTCCTTACCTCCTTGCTCCAAGGTGTGTTGTCAAATCTTCAGTGTTCTCATGGTTCCTGCAGTTTGCCAACATCTGTCAGCACTTATCTGCAGACCTCGGTCTGTCTGTTCAGTGATCAGTCCTTTGTGTTCATCCCTATTTTCCCATCCATGCATTGCTATACAGACTGGTTGAGGAAAAATGGTTAATTCTAGTTTGGGGATGAATGTAGACATTTACTAGCACAGAGCCATAAACCATAAGGTTTGTAAGAAACAAACCTGTCTGATGCTCAACACTTATACTTGCCTTTGAGATGTGTCATTGGGGAGTTGCAATCATTCAGCAATACTGTCTGATTTTATATCCTTCGAGTTCTTTTCATTCACATGGGCCTGATTGACTCAGATCTCTTAAACGTGTCTGCTGCACCAACAATGTTGTAATTATCAACTACAATTATTGTGTCAGATAAGATTGATAGCTCGACAGGTTCAGGTTTTGACAAGCCACATGCTGAAGATCATAAAAACTTCAAAGAACAGGATATAAGTCAAGTCCTGTTCAGCTCCTCTGTGTCCTGCCTGCAGCTGAGCTCAGCGTGTGCTGCCAGGGGCAGGATGTCTCCATTATTGTCAGTGCAAAAGCAGCTTCTTCCAAGTCCCCAGAACTTGCTTGAGTCCTGTCATTCACGAAAAATTGGTTCTGGAGCCCAGAGTGCTCCTCCCTCAGGGCTTCAGAAGTGCCTGCCAGGAGGGCAGTTGTTCAAACTGTGCTCCCCGGGGGTTCTTGCACCAGTGAATGTTTTATTGTGACACCATGTAATTGTGTCCTTTAAGCTTTTTTCCAAATCCCTACAGTAGTTGCCCAGTGACCCCCAGGCCAGCTCACATTGGTACTGCAGCTGCACCTTGAGGCTCCTGGGTGCTGCTGTCCCCTGTCCCTGGTGGCAGCCGAGCAGGAACACCCCCTGTTACAGGGTTCCTCCCACCTTGGCTTGAAGAAATGCACTGTAGAGTTCTGCCCAGCTTAGCTCATCCTAGGAAAAAAACATTACAGATGTCTTCAATTCCTATTTTTCTATTTCTGTTTTTGTTCCTGGTAGCTGCTGAGTGGGAGCTACCACCACAAAGAGGTTTGGCACAGGTGCTGAGTACAAACCAGTCTTTGCCTCTGAAACTTTTTTTCACCAGGTAGCATCTGTATTTCAGTGGGCTGTGGGACAGCTGCTCCTGGAATGCTCAAACCCAAACAGCACAGTTATCACGCCCTAGCACAGAGGATCTGGTTTGTGGCTGCGGTCTCAGAGCCAGCACAGTTGGTCCTTGCTCTCTTCTTACTTCACTCAGGATTTTTTAACACTAGATAGTTAAATCTTAAGGAAAACCTCCACATTTAAACCAAACCATATGTGTGTCTTACACATGTGGGTTTGGCTCCATCCACACTCAGGACCTGGGCACTCGTTGTTTCTAAACCCAAAGGGTTGTCCAGCCCTGGCACAGCTGCCCAGGGCAGTGGTGGCATCCTGGGGGGATTTAACAGCCATGTGGATGTGGCACTTGGGGACATGGGTTACTGGTGGCCTGGGCAGTGCTGTGACTTCAGGAGGGGTGAGAGACAGGGCCCTGCCATCCGAGCGGGCGATGCCGAGGCCGTCACGCTGCGCTGCAGCCCTGCTTTCCTCTCACACTCCTTTATTCTTGTTACTCGTCTCCTCCCTTTTTACAGAGCAGCCTGTCTTCATTGCCCATACACCAGATCATCTAGAGTACAGTGCCTAAAGATCAATGTTTGCAGTTGATTTACAGAGCTGCACTTTGACTTGACATTTTTATGTCTCGCTGCTTATTTTTCTAATTACAGCTGAAAGGAAATTCAAGATAAGTATCATGTAATGAAGGAGCCAAACCCCTCCGAGGACAACTGGTTTGATGTCGTATTCCCTGCTTGAAGGAAGCCATGGGCTTTTGTTCTCTAATTCATGAGGGTTTGGAGTTGGTGAGGGGTGGCAGTAGCAACCCACCTGTGCCAAGTACTGTCACACAGGTATCAGTGAGGGGAACACAGACTCTCCAAGGGCTCTGGCATTGCCTCTGGAGCACTGGTGTGCCTTGCAGGCAGACCAGCAGCTGTGGTTAAGAGCCAGCTGTGTGGGAGAAACACTTTGTCATGGTGCCATGGGCACAGTCGCTGATGGGGCTCATGAAGCAGAGTGAGGCCACCTCTGCCCAGGTCTGCTCCCCATGGTTGCAGGCCCAGGAATTGCCTGCTGGCTTCTGCAATGTGTTTTCCATAATATATGTGCAATATTTGGGAGAGCCTGGATGTGGGGCAGCAGGTGTTGCAAGGAGAAGGCTTTTATTTCAGTTGCATCCCACTTTCACTTTGGCCTGGAATGGAACAATCCCACTTGGGTATCCAAGTGCAATCGCTTTTTTCCCTAGAACGTGATCATGTGCTGAGTTTATCTTCCTGTGAGAGTTGTTTGAGTCAGTCACCTCTTCTCACTTTTCCCTGGATGATCTCTGTGTCTATGTGGGAGTTAGAGACCAGTCATGGCTGAGGATGTAAATGATGCTGGTTCTTTTCCATGTTACATTAACAAGGGAATGGATTTTGTCCCGCAGTGTGTGATCCCGTTGTCCTTAGGTGAGGGCTGCAGTGCCGGGCACTCCTTGGGCAACGTCCCCTGAGGGAGGAGCTGCTGCTGGTCATCACTTTTCCTTCCCTTGTAACCATTAGTGGAGCCAAGAAGCCTCAACCTTTTTTTTTCTTTTAATTTTTAAGTCTCACACTCAACCATGTACTTCCCACAGCCCGCAAGCTGAAGAAACTGGGTAACCTGAAGACCCAGGATGAGGTGGAGGCAGGCAGCTCATCCAGCCCCACGGAGGAACAAGCTCCCAAGCTGGTGATGACACGCATCGATGGCTACGAGTGCCAGCCCATCTTCCTCAACGTCCTGGAGGCCATCGAGCCCGGCGTGGTGTGTGCTGGCCACGACAACAGCCAGCCAGACTCCTTCTCCAACCTGCTGACCAGCCTGAACGAGCTCGGGGAGCGGCAGCTGGTCTACGTGGTCAAATGGGCCAAGGCCCTGCCAGGTGAGGAGGAAAACAAACAAATCCCCTCCTTTCCCAGTTCCAAAGCTCCCATCTGCATTGGCAGGATGCAAAGGGAGTGGTCTGCAGCCCGTGTGCCACCGTCACACAGCTCCTGGGGGAGGGCTCTGTGGGCACTGAGGGTCCCCTCCTCAGGCAGCACCTGCAGCAGTGGGGGTTGTCTGGGGGGCTGGTGATGGGAGGGGGGCTGGGGGTGATGGAGGATATTGGCACTTGTGCTTTGCCTTGCGATAGCCTCCGGCCTGGGCTACCAGGTGGGCACAGGCCACTTGCCCCCAGGGGGCTGCTGCTGCTGCTCAGAGTCCCGCTGTCCTCCCCCTCTCCCAGCTCCAGGCCCTGTCCTCCAGCCCTGCAGAATTCCTCTCTAAACAAGTATTAGCCCTGTCCCATGACTCACCTGAAGTGATGAAAAGGGTAAATTCTATCAGCTCATTAATTGGAATATGGCAGAAGAGCAATGCAGGATCCCAAAGGGCTCTTTCCTGGCAGTCACTTGGGTTGCCTGTGCGACGGCCTGGTGGGATATATTTACAATTCCTTTGGAGTGGTGCTACAGGCTGGGAAGTTTCTAGATGCCAGTCAGCAGGTGCAGTAAATGGAGCATCCCAATGACAGATGGGTTCACTGAGCCAGGTCTGTGCAGGGTCAGTGGGTGGTGACACACTGCCTGTTCCATGTTGTAATCCTGCAACCGAGTGAGTGGGATTGCAGAGAGCTCACTCTGGGCACAGCAGGATCCAGTTCACCTCTGAGCATCTCTGAGGCTGGGGTGTGGGGCTGGTTCCTAATGCCTTCCCCATTCCAGTCTCACTCCCCAGGGAACACTGCAGAAAAGAGGGACCCCACTCTTCATGTGCAGCCAAAGGAGGAGACTGAGGCACAATAAGTTTACCACTCTGTGTCAGACCCTGGTGATGACCTGTGGTCAGCTGTCTGACAGTCCCAGGAATTTAGCAGCTCCCTGGACTGGTGGTGCCAAGGGATGTTGGTCTGAATACCCTTAAATGCAGAGTAGCCCATTCTGTTTCTGATATTCTTAAGTCACTTGGCTTGTAAAACCAGGGACAAATTGTGCTTTCTCTTTGGCTTATGTATGCCAGCCATCAAGATCAGACACAGAGACACCACCAAAGCCACCTGGTGTCTGGGACTGAGGCTGTACCACTGCAGTAGTGCTGATGGAAAGGAAGAGTGCTTTGGAAAACATTTTCCATCTTAACCACCCCATTAAGAAAGGGTTTTACTCTCCTGAACTGCACCTAATGCCGACCCCTTGGTGTGTGGCTGTGCCAGCTGATCCCTGGAGCCAGCACTCGCTGTGCCAGGGCAGCATCTGGGCAAGATTCATTCCCCTGCTGTTTGGCTTTGAGAGCTCCCCAAGCCACAGAGAGCCTTGCCTCAATGGGTTGTAATTATACACAGGAGATGTTAAATTGCTTTAATATTTGATTGAAAAAATGTATGATTGTCTTTAAACTCAATTATATTTGCCTATTTACAAGTGTCTGGAAAAAAGCAGAGTTGGAGGTGGTGTAAACACTCCTAGGTTTTAACTCTGAACTGCCATCTGGGTATAGGAAATTTGAATTTAGTTGCTATTTTTGTCTCTCTTGCAATGCAGCCGAGGTTTCCGTGCTCATTTCCACAGTCATTGGATCCATGCAGTGTGTATTGGACAGAAACCAGAGTGTCTGTGGCCACGGGGTGAGGCCTTGGGGTTACCTGCTGGCTCTGAGCATCACATTAAAATCCAGCTACTTAAATTTGGTGAAGTCCTAATGGGACTTTTTCCCCTCCTTGTGTCCAAAGTCCCCTTTCTCCCCTTCCAGGGGCAGGTCTGTGCTTGGCTGTCCCTGATTCCCAGTCAGGGTCAGAGCCCTGGGCTGCCGGCCCCGCAGCTGTGTCACCGCTGGCGTGTGCATGGCCCGGGACGTGCTGAGCCTGGGCTGTGAACTGACCACCTTGTCCCAGAGGAGCACTGCAGGAGAGGTGGAGTCTGCGTGGAAACAGTCCTGGGAACTGCAGGAACACAACATTAATTCGTAACATCCCTCCCTCATTGTTTATTAGGATTTCGCAACCTGCATGTGGACGACCAGATGTCAATAATCCAGTACTCTTGGATGGGCCTCATGGTGTTTGCTATGGGGTGGAGATCCTTCACCAATGTCAATTCCAGAATGCTTTACTTTGCTCCAGACCTGGTCTTCAATGAGTAAGTGCAAAACAACACCAGCCTAAGCCAGGCTTTGGGTCAGACCAGGTGGCAAACTGAGCATCTCGTGCTCCGACCTGCCCAGCCCAGTGTGGCAGGTCCTGTTCCCAACTCCAGCCACCCATGGTGACCTCCAGGAGTGGGGAGGGCACTGTGACACCTCTCCTGGTCCTTTGCCCTGCTTCCCCAGCCTTGCCATGGGCTGACTCCCACTGGGGCAGCTGGATCTGCTGTGGGATGAAAAGCTACTCTGTATGGACCTGTCTTTCTGCTAAAGGGTTTGAGTTCCAGTTTCCAGCTCTGTTGGGCAGCTGGAGAGAACAGAAACAGAGATAATGTGTATTGTAAGGTCCTGCTGGGCTCTCCCTGATGTACCATCAGCTTAGAGCTGAGGAGGGTTTGCTGGCACTGAGGTAGAAGAGCCTGAACCTAATAACTAAGGACAGCGCTAGGCAAACCCACACCTCCCTGGGAGCTCCAGCTTGGTCTTGCATCCCTCATGGATAGACATGTTTGGGGAATCATTGCAGTCACTCCTCAGATGAACCCTGCAAGTCCCCAGTTCCATCTGTTTCCAGAGAGGGTTGGTTACACACAGGCATTTTGGAGAATGCTCCTGTCCTGCCTGTGGCATTGCTGGGACAGAGATGGGCCCTTGGCAGCGGGGACGTGCCAGGCGAGGGGGTTGCTGGGTCGAGGAGTGTGTCCTCCCCTCTCACACAGCTGCACTTTGGTCTCGGTGCCATCCATGCCCATCTTGCCCTGCCAGGTACCGCATGCACAAATCCAGGATGTACAGCCAGTGTGTCAGGATGAGGCACCTCTCCCAGGAGTTCGGGTGGCTTCAGATCACGCCCCAGGAGTTCCTCTGTATGAAGGCTCTCCTTTTCTTCAGCGTTAGTAAGTACCCACACCCTTTCCTCCACAGAACTCCAGCACCTGCCACTGTATCACCCTGGAGGTGTCTGGTGCTTTCCCTGTGCCTGGACTCTCACCTCCCAGGGGGAGCTGGGAAGTTCCCTGCTTCAGCTTCCTCCTGCTCTCCTGTTCCCCGCTCTCTGGGCTCCTCTCACTGTTTCCTTCCCATCCCACCCAGTTCCAGTGGATGGCCTGAAGAACCAGAAGCTCTTCGATGAGCTCCGCATGAATTACATTAAGGAACTTGACCGTATCATCGCCTGCAAGAGGAAGAACCCCACCTCCTGCTCCCGGCGGTTTTACCAGCTCACCAAGGTCCTGGACTCCGTGCACCCGGTGAGAGAGGACAGGGAAATGTCCATCTGTACACGTAAGAAACAATATAAGAAAGAAACTTTACAGTGAGGATGATCATTCCCTGGTACAACCTCCCCAGGGTCAGGGCAGCCCTATCATGGGGAGAGTTCAGATGCAGTTGGACAGGGTGCTGGATAGTCTCATCCAGGCTCCCTTTCCCAGGGAAGGTAGAACCTCTGCTCCATATCTTTCCAGTGAAAATGCTACACGGGGACTCATTTAACCCCTTCTCTTCCTTCCCCAGATTGCCAAGGACCTGCACCAGTTTACATTTGACCTGTTAATCAAGGCACACATGGTGAGCGTGGACTACCCGGAAATGATGGCTGAGATCATCTCTGTGCAGGTTCCCAAGATCCTGTCTGGAAAAGTCAAGCCTATCTACTTCCATGCACAGTGATCTTCCATAGGGACCCCCAAGCTGCCTCCCCTATTCCAGCCTGTTATTTCTGCACTACTGTCCTGCAGTGCCTTGGGGAATCCCTCTGCAGTGGTGGCTGAGGGGACAGGCAGTGACAGACCTGCTGGGATTCCTGAGATTTCTATTTTCCTGAGGTACCTCTGAACTGAACCCCCAGCCTCGGCCTCTGCCCAGCTCTGGCTGCTTGTGGTGATGGACAGGGACTGGCACGGAGCAGCAGCACCCCGCCTGCTCTCTCGTCTCGGTGTTTGTCACCGTGACTCCAGCGGCCCAGGGAAGAGTGGGAGAAGTGCCAGTAGTTGGTGGGTTTGGGGTGTTTTCTATACACAGAACATGACATGAAGCAGGTTGCAGCTCCACGTTTGGCTGTGGGTGATGCTACCGGCCTCCTTTGGGATGTTTTGTTTGCATTATGGTGCTGGGAAGCAGATGAGTTCAAACATTGCAGCAGAGAAGCAGAGCAGAGCCGGGGGATGAGGTGAATTTGCGGCCGAGGAGTTCCCAGGCCCCGGGACCCGTGGGATGTGTCTGGCCAGCCTGGCCCCGGGACCCGCGGGATGTGTCTGACCAGCCTGGCCCCGGGACCCGCCTGCGCCGCCGAACATGGACGGTGGAGCGGATGGGCTGCAGCCGAAGGCTGCCGGGGAAGATGACCTTGGAAGCCCCCCAATGGCAGCTGGCTCCTGTTTTCCACCTGGGATGTTTGTGCTACAGCCTGTCTGGGTCTCAGTCTGCCCCGCAGGCCCCCCGGTGCTCAGCAGTCAAAGTTCCCGTCCTTGCCAGCTGCTGCTCCCTGACAAAGCCGAACCCACCTCCAAAAGTGCCTGATGCCCTCGGACCTCCCACCTGCCCGGCTGCCCTGGGCCTCTGCAGCCCCTGCCCAGCCCCACGCCCGCTCTGCTGCTGCCACACCTCCGCAGACCCCGGATCCCAGCTGCACTCCTTCCCTTCGTTTGTCCCAGCTCTTTTTTGCAATGCCAGCAGACGAGTGTCGTGGAGCCAAGAGGGGGCCAGGATCTGTGGGACCTGTGGAGCCACCGGACTCCTCCATGAATCCTATCTGTGGGGAAGTGGCTGTGGGAACTGGCTGGTGCCACCACGGTGCTTTGGGGGGCTGGAAAGGAAGAACCAACCCTCGTGTACTCACGGTCCTATGTACATGGTGCCACACACACTGTCACACACACACTGTCACACACACGCCGTCACACAGACACACATACACACACACTGTCACACACACACTGTCACACACACACTGTCACACA